TTTGGCACTTTAAAGTGGGTTCTAAGGGGCCAATTTTTGATTGTAGCTGTATTTTAAAAAAGGCTTAATATGGTACCAAGACGTAAGCTTTGAGGCAATTTGGGGCATACACCTCAAGACAAACCAATAAATTAAATGATATAAAAATACAAAAAATATGTCTTAATAAATCATAAACCATATTGAAAAATACATAATAAAACAACCATGTTAGAAGTCTAACTTGCAAACGAATACAAAATAGATTAATAAAATATCAAATAATAAGTTTTCAAGTTAGTTGTCAAGAAAAATAATATGTAATAGGATTCTTAAGGGAACCATTAAAGTCGTCCTCAACATTAGCTTTTTCATTCTTATCATCAAATGTTTACTAGCTATCATGCATTCTTTTTCCCCTTAGCTTCTGTGCAAAGACAGTAAAATGAAAATAACAGAACTCATAAAATATTCTAGATTATAAAGAAATAGCCCACAAAGCTAAGCTCAAAAGCAAAATGTCTAGAAAATGCAAGACAAACCTGCTAATATCTTAGTCCCCTTATGCATCACAAGTGCGCCTCAAGGTGTAAGCTTTGAGGCGATTCATGAAAGCCTCACATGAGGTGGGATTCAAAGCCTCATGCAGCATTTTTAAACAATGATTATAGTGCATTGTGAACACATTGGACTTAGTGTCCATTTAGCTTCAGAACATGTCCTAGATTTTTGCCTTTCTGAATTCTTTTGCGGATATAAATCTGTAATTGGTATGTTCTATTACTCTTGATAAAAATCTCATCCAAATTCTGGAGTATCGAGTGGACATATCTTTTCTTTTAATATGTTTCTAGTTGATGATACTTTCTCTCGGTCGTCATTTGTTTCTGGTAACCACCTTTTATGGTGATGATATATTTGGTTTGCACTATTTAGCCCCTACCAATAAATGCTTTTTCTGGATTATGATTATCTAAACATTTGAAGACAATTTCAATTGATTTCATAGCTTTTTCTGGAAAGTAAGATATGAATTGATGATATGATGAATAAGTGGGTTATGTTCTAGGTTTTTATCCAATATGCTTATAGGAATTTATTACTTAAATATATGTCCATTTAACACCCTCTGTTTTTAATGCTGCTGCTCCCTCTCCCTCTCCTTCTCTCCCTCTCTCTTTCTCTCAACCTACATGTATGGTGTGCTCGTGCATGCATAGAGAAACAGACCTTTCTTAAGTGACACCCTGCCTTAGTTAAAAGTTGTGGCCGCTCCAAGTAATGTTCTGTTTCTAATGTGTGATTCCATTTGTGAGATTTGCATCCTTTGTCTGGAAGGGATCTCTTATTTAATTTCCATTATGTACATTTTGAACTTAAGTGGTCTTGTTTTCTGCCCATCTGCAGGATAAAGACCAAGACTGGGGTGGTGAAGATTCTGATGATGATATTGATGATGATGATCTGAATATCTCAGATGAAGACGATTCATTTGGTAAGAAAATTAGAGCCAAGCAGCGAGGTAAGGGTGCAAATAATTTGAAGTCTACTCGAGAATTTAAATCAGCTGCTCCAGCCACTAGGCGAAGGAGGGTTAGAACCTCTTTTGAGGATGAAGAAGAAGAATCCTCTGCTGAGGATTCAGAAAATGATAGCAATGAGGATTTTAAGAATATGAGAAGGCGAGATGCACCAGTTCGCCGAAAGAATGGGAATCAATTTGTTTCGGATAGGAACAATGAACTTAGAACTTCAGGTCGGTCAGTTCGGAAAGTATCATATGTTGAGAGTGATGAAAGTGAAGATCTTGATGAAGGCAAGAAAAAGAAGAACCAAAAGGTGTGCTCATTCATTTTGCTTTTACTTTTGATTATTCTGAGCATTAGCTTAAACAATTTCATTGTTTTGCATAATTTGTGGATACTATTAAATTTTTTTTTTCACTTTTTGAATTCAATTATTAAACTAAATATTTTTACAGGCCTTGTCCTTTATCTCAATATCTTTTGGATCTTGGGTGTTCTTAATTAGTGCCCCTATAAATTCTTGAGGTCCATGTGGTTAATGAGTTAAAATTTTCTTGTTTAAAACTTTACCAACGCCTGCTTTCCTTTGATTGCTTGTTGTACTCCTTCTACCGTATTCCTTTGTCTTTGCATTAAGTTTACGCTCAAAGGTGAATAGGATCTGCATGGGGGTAAAATCGCATAGAGAAGCTTCAACTTGGTTGGGTTCCTTTTTTGATTCCGTCAACATATTTTTAAAGACTCGGCTACTGTAATTTATTTTAGATATCTTCTTCTTGATTTTTGAAATACACTTAAATATCTTCTGAAGGCTCTGCAACTAATTTTCTGTTTATTATTCCTTACTTTGTGAAGGATGAGGTTGAAGAGGAAGATGGTGACGCGATTGAAAAAGTACTGTGGCATCAACCAAAGGGCATGGCTGAAGAAGCTTTTAGAAATAATAGATCAGTGGAGCCCACGCTGCTAAGCTATTTTTTTGACTCGGAACCAGATTGGAATGAGGTGGAGTTTCTGATAAAATGGAAAGGCCAATCGCATTTGCATTGTCAATGGAAATCATTTTCTGAGTTGCAAAATGTAAGGCTTCTGCATGCTGTTGCAATAATCAAATATCAGTTAGCTCAGTACAAATTGATTGACTTATCATGTGTTAATATGTATTGAAGTTTCCTTTAGCTTGAAGAAGTTCCATATCATCTTTCCAGCTACGAATATCTGATTTTCCTGTGAAATTTCAGCTTAGTGGTTTTAAGAAGGTTTTAAATTACACCAAAAAAGTGATGGAAGATGTCAAGTATCGGAAGACTGTATCACGCGAGGAGGTAATGCTAGCCATTTTCTGGTTTGCTAAATCCTTGAAATTTTCTATTGAGATCTGGTAGAAGTAGAAGATATATTTTGTGAAAGTTGCAGCTTCTTCAAACACACAAAATATATAGATGTGTGATATCTGTTTACTATTATACAACAAAATTGTGAAGATGGTTACACTTTTAACTGTGAACTTAAATGCCAATCCTTCGAGTTGCATCGGAAACAGGTGCTTATAATGGAGATGGTTGGAATTGGATAAGAAAACTTTTTAATTAATGGTTGAGTTTGAGTTTGAGCTTAAGTTAAATTATATTGTGCCGACTGTGCCACGCCCAACACAATAGGAATGTTGGTCCTACACCTCACAAAAAATTTCACTGTTAACCACAAACTAAAATCTACTGACTATATGTGCTTTCTCTTGTAACATTATTCAATTAATACATAAAATTCTTTCTTGGAGATGTATTAATTTTAATATCTTATGAGTCTAGCTTGAGTGGAGCATCTTTGGATTATCCTTGTATCAGACCAAAGTGTCCCATGTACAGAACTTAACTAAAATTTTGCATGTATAATATTTAGATCCATACTTCTTCACAGCACCCTTAACGAGTTTAAGTAACATAATCCCAAGCCTGGCCCAAAAAGTTTATTTCAAAGAAGAAGAGTTTGAGCTGCAGTTTTAGCGATATTCAATGTTATTTTAGTGATCTTAGGTTTGTTTTTATCTCTATCTATTCGCACTTGCACTCTAAAATTTGTTGAATAATTGTGAAGCTAGAATATTATTTCTATGGGGATCAATATATTGTTCTTTAACTCAAATTTATTAGGTATTTATTTATATGTTGAACCGAATGATTTAAATTCTTAAGTCGTTAGATAGGGTCACACATATCATTTAAATATTTTCTTCAACATTGTATATCCCTTTTGCTCCAAGTTGTTGAGGACTAATAAT